GTTGTTTTTGGTTCCTCTGTTGGTTTATCAGTTAAGTTCCCCTGGCCCACGCTTGTTTTTCGTTTACTACTGCTCAAGTTAACTCACTTCTTTTGTTGGAAACAGCGCTGCACCGCAACCTCTCTAGGTCAACTGCATTCTAAAGCGTAGCTTCTGCTATCCCATCACAACGAACCTGGAACTTAGAGTGGTGCGATGTTATGCGTACCCCCGTGATCCAGTGAGCTACATTGGGTGGCAATTTCCAAGTGCCTTCAAAGCCACTCATACCAGCGAGGTCAATGGTTCAAATAAATAATAAATATAATGTGTCAGCTGTACGACGTAACAGCGCACGGATTAAGTATACTGCGATGACGCCCACCTCTAAGCCGACTCCAACCGAGGACCATTTGGTTGCAAACTAGGCGCGCAGATCACTCGGGCACCGTTTGAAGGGTTATGTGTCAGACTGACCCAGTCTCACAATTCAATCCTCTTCGGAAGTTAGGGAGAGGTCGATGGCACTCTTCCTTTAAAATCTAGCCATAGGAGACAACAGGTCCACGGGTTATAAGCTCACCACTCGATTAGCGTAGAGCACGAGTGCCATGCATTTTCTCTGACGGTGGGATGGCGCCTTCCAGTGCTCAATAGTCTGCTACCGCCAGCCTCAAGCCAGACAGCCCCTGGTCAAATTGTTGCAAACCCGCCAAAACCCACCTCTGCCTGGTCGTAGTCGCAGGTGCGTAACTATGGTCCCAAAACACACATGAATCGTTCCAGCACCTCAAAGGTTGCGTGTGACAGACCTGAAGCAGATCCCAATATGTCTCTGGAATCACACTTCCGAGCTGGACTTGCTCCCCACTGCCTTGTGGGTCAGGCTATTGAGTCAAAGGCTCCGAGCGGAGTCCCTCAAGCGAACCTCCAAATCCCAGACTGCCTTGTGGGTCAGACTATTGGGTCAAAGGCTAGAGGTAAAGCACTTTGAACAAAACCCCTGTTTCGGAATGGGCAGCCGGAAAGTACCATCTGCCCTTCCCGACCACGTCGACAATACTTCCTCTCCTTATTTTTATTTCCCCTCTCAGCTTTGTTTTTCCTGGTCTACTGAGCAAGAATCTGCCACTGATATCGCTGCTGCTGCCATCAAACCACGAGTATCATTTCACATTGATACTTCGGACGTCCGTAATCCTGGTCAGATCGGTCAACACGCAACACAGACTATCACTCTTCACTCACTTTGTATTGATATGCCGTGTCTCCGAAACAAGCATACAAGATAACAGCACTGTGATGAACCTTCGACACCTTGGTTCCGAATCCGTTGACAATGAGTACATTACCCGCATTTCTGATGATACCGAAGCGATGGCTCAATGAATTGATGGTGTCGATACCGCTATGAGCAAACATGTTGAAGACAATCTAATCGACTGGATACAAGTGAACAGCCCAATGTGTGTAGTTCGACTTCGAACCTCTATTGGGGTTCATAAGTAGCGGTTGAAGACAAGGTGCCTATTCGTCGCCTCCGTTTATGCTCCTACTGACTGCAGTTCGGAGGGTACCAAAGATGATTTCTATTACCATTTATCATCTCCTCGGCATGACGAAGAATACTGACATTGTGATTGTTGCTGGTGGCTTGAACGCCCAAGTGGGGTGTGTATCAGATTCTGAACAACACCTAAGACGGTGATTCGGAGTCGAAGCACGCCGAACAGACAATGGTGAGCGATTCCTGAAACTGTGCGCCGACCACAAACTTTACGTTAACAGCACTGCTTTCAAACACAAATGTTCACACCGCGTCATTTGGCGCCCACCGAATACCACAATGATCTGGACTTAAATTGACCAGATTGCCACCAGTTGCAAGTGGCGCACTTAAGTCCAAGACTGTCAGTGAATTTGGAGCACTGCCTGGATTCAAACCATGCTCTAGTGCGCGCACACGTGGTGCTCACTCATCCTGCATCAAAGAAGCCCCTATCTTCTAATCTTCTTAATTGGAGCTTGAACCCGCAATCTGCACTTCAACATACTCATGATGAACTTGCCCAAGAAATGTTAGTAATGAAGGAAGTTGGTCAACAGAAAGCAGACTGGAATTGTCTCAAGTGTGCCATGAAGAATGTCTTTGACGCCTGCTCTGCACCCATCTTCAGATGTCGTAACTGTGAATGGATCTCTGAAGCATCGATCAGTTTGATTGTAGCGCGTAAACGGGTTCCGATGGGCAATGAATTTCAGCATATCCGTAACTCCCTGAAAGGACGTCTGACAAGGAGTCTTCGAGTTGACCGGGAACATTGGTGGTTTGAAAAGGCCCGTGAGATGGAGAAAGCCAGTACTATCAGAAACAAACGAGTTCAATTCCGGCTCATCTGGAACGCGGGTAAGAGAAAGCCGCCAGTTAGCGAGACAACAGCTGAGAAGGAGGGAATGTTGATCTGTTCTCAGCGTCGTCGACTAGCCCACTGGGCGGAACACTTTGTGGAGTTCAACAGGCCCGCTGCGACACTGACACTTGCCGAATAACCTGAGCCGATGTGCGAAGTTGATATCACAACACCTACTTTGGAAGACATCGGATATCAGCTCTCCGTGCTGGAATAAAACGAGGCTCCAGGACACGATGACCTTCCATCATCTTCGAAGAAAGATGGTGGTGAATCTTTGTTGACTGAACTTGCTTTGCTTTTTAATAAGAGTTGGGACACTGAAGAAGTGCCTTCAGACTGGCAACTATCAGCTGTCGTGCCAAACAAGTAGGGTCAGCGTTCTTTGTGCGAAAATCATCGAGGCCTTAGTCCTATTTCCATAGCCTGAAAACTTCTCACAGATATCATATTTCGATGATTTACTGGCCCCCGAGAGGGCCGAATCACTGAAAGCCAGTCTGGCTTCCGCCCATGGCCGTAGTTGCATCGATCATATATTTACTCTACGCTAAGTTTTAGAGCAGACACATATATAGAAGACCGACTATGATGGTTTTGCTTGATTTGAAAGCCGCCTTTGACTCCGTTGACCGCACCAGCTTGTGGCACTGCCTATGCATGAAGGGCGTGCCAGTTAAAATTTCCATTCTGAGTCACTCTACTGTGATTCCCGAGGCCGTGTAAGGGTCTACGGAAAACTATCTACTGGGTTCCCCACTGCAAGTGCGGTTCGCCATGGTTGTCCTATAACTCCTTTACTCTTCAACTCTGTGATCGAAATGATCATGAACGACTTGGTTCTTTCAGACTACTCTGGAGTGGAAGTTCAGCCAGGCGACGGACTGACAAACCTGGAGAATGCGGACGACATAGGTCTTCTTGGGTCTGGTGCTTTGGCTATGCAAACTACTGGATAGACTGACGCGTACCGCTGCACGCTTCGGCATGTACTTTGCACCATTAAAGTACAAAGTGCTGTTGCAGGACTGGGCCGACACACCTCCAGATTTAGTTATTTCCAAACAGCCGCTGGAAGTGGTGCGTTGATTCGCTTAGCTTAGTAGCTGTATCGCCTACAATAGTCACATTACTGAAGGAGTTACTTCGAGTACCAGCAAGGCCAGTGTGGCTTTCCAAATGTTCAACCACGCAAGAGACGGCGGGATAACAGCGTGTCCGTGAAGTGTAGGGTGTATAACGCGGCGGTAAGTCCGGTGTTACTGTGCGGATCAGAGACCTGAGCAGTTCGCCGAGAACACAGTAAACGCTTGACCGTGTTTGACCAGCGGTGCTTGTGCAGTATTGTTCACGTCTGGAGGGAACACCGGACGAGCAATGCTGAGGTCCGCAAATTGGTTTTTGGCAAAAAATCCCTCTGGTGCCACTCTCGAGTGTTTGCTAAATCTTAGTCGTTTGCGTTGGATAAGCCATGTTCTCGGTATGCCAGTTGATGGACTTCTTCGGTGTGCATCATACGCCCCGGTTGCAACAAGTTGGGCGAAAACTTAAGGTGGCCAGTCCATGACGTGGCATCAAGGCATGAAGAAATTGACTGAAACTTGGTCAGGCTGGTACGTGCCGTCTTCCTGGATGGAGGTCTCGGGATGGGCCACACCAATGGCTGGAGACCGTGTCAGACATGGCGCAGTCACGAAATCAGTCGCGTTCCTGCATTCAGTTTCTTTCATCTGGTTGCTAACATTGGTTTCATTCTGATTAGTCTAACGCATTTCCTTCTTGTTTCTAGGTTCTCTACATGCTACTCCCACCCAAACCCACTATCCTACCGTTGATATTTATCGTTATTCTTACGGTGTGTCGTGGCTACTGGATCCTCCGCACTTTGATGTTCGGATCATAGTTGTTCAAATGAACTGAACTGAGCTTCTGCTATAAGAGGCTGCTGCTATCACTACTTTGAGTGACGACAAAACATTTGCAATCGAATCGTCCAACTCGACGAACAAATAGACATCTGCTTCTCAACTGCTCTTGTGTAATATACCATGACTGTCAGTCGGTTAGTGCATCACGAAAATGTGGGCGGTGCTTGACCAGCGTTACGAGTGCTCGTTTCGTGCCTACTATGTGTTCACTTGGTCTATCAATCGTCATCAAAATAGCTACTTATCTGTCTATAATGCAGTGTACCAGAAGAGCTGGAAAAGGTTATCAGAACAGCTTGGTGGATCTCAGACGTAAACCCCACTACAGAGACTATGTACGCTATGACAACCAGTTGCATCGCATTTCGATGCCGGATGAGAGTTTACTGACCAAATCAGAACAGGTTGGTGATGTTGCGTAACCGAGTAGTGAACGTTTGTGAGTAAAGTGAATATTTGTAGCAACCGCCCAAAGGCGACAATCACATGCAAGTCGGACCACTCGGCCAATCCAAAGTCTGAGTGTTGCGCATGATGAGGGCATTCTACATGAGGAAAACAGTGTACGAGATGCCAAGTTGGCAAAGTGCTCACAGGCGGGTGGGGATTAATTTAGTTGACAATATAGCCAAAGTAAGTACGGAAAGGTTAATAGGACAGATGATATGAAACGATAACCTACAGCGCAGTTTCCTCCTCCACAGAGCCATCTGAGATCCCCAGGCTTTTGCCCACAGGCATTCTCGAGTTGGCTGAAGGCGGCGGGGCTGACTGTCCAGCGGTGCCGGGCGTTGTGTGGCAGGTGGAAAATGAAGACCTGCTGGGCCGTACAGATGTGCTTTCTGTAGTGGAATCAAACCCCAAGGCTAGACGCGTCTGACGCTCTTCTATTTCGATCAAAAGATCTTCATCAGCGGGTGCCGTGAACGAAGGCAAGGCAGTCCAGCGTCTAGCACCGGCGCGAAGCAGCCAAGTAAACCATGCATGGATACGATAGAAAATCTGAGCGGAATAAGAACGCGTCATTCGGCATTAGTGGATGGGAGAATATATATTAACTTTCCAGTACTATAGAGACAAAAGTTCGGGCAAATGACGAACAAAGTTGGGGTGAAAAGATTAGACAAGAATGGTTGTAGCTAGCAGACGCCAGGATTAAAACAAGCATCTGAGTTGAGCGAGCACAAGGAGTAGAAAGTACGACAGTTAAGAAAGAAGGTGGAGACCATGTCTTCAGGAGTTTCCTTTAAGTTTCACGGTAGGAACATACAGTCTGAACATGCTTTATAGATTCTATCTAAAGGATTTACTAACACAGCGCTTCTCGGTGCTGCATCAAAACCCCATTGTTCTAACGTTTTTAACATGATCGTTTACAGTCGAGAAACAGTGAAACATTTGCATATTTTCACGCATATGAATTGCACAACTTTTCCTGGTCAAGCCATACGAAACAAAATAAAAGGAATCAAAAAGATGCGAATGGATTCTGCACAAATACACCGTGCAAGATGGCGGTTGCACTTGGAAGGTAACATCTCGGAAAGTTGAGCTTAACTGTTTTACTCAGCGATAATATTCGATCGCTATTTGGAAAATTAGGAGACCTCAAAATTCGGAGACTTCAAAATATCTTGAATATTCTCGTGTGGGCATCATTATGCTGCACGAAATTTGGCTTCAGTGATGTTGAAGATACAAGTGTGGAACTCGATGGATTTAGCTCCTTTCGTGTTGACTGCCAACGTACATAAAGGAACAGCGGTGTTGGCGTTATCGGTTGCATTATTTCTTAATGGTGTACGTCGATTAAAAGCATTTTCAATACAGATCGTAAAGCATCATCCATTTACTCGTGGAATGCAAACCAAGACTGCTGAGCGGCTATCGTTCGATTTTACTGACTAATGTTTATATATCTCCAGGCTGTCAAAGCTAGGAAGCTGGAGGATTTTATGGCAGATAGACAACTGCTGTCCAAGAATACCTGTAACTCTCCTTGTGCATAGCTGTCGGCGATTTTAACAGAGCAGACACCAGCCTCATTGTGAACCCTGGGCTAAAATAGATAGTGCAATCAGCAACCACGTTAACTCCAACACTTAATTTGGTATTTGTTAATACCCTGAAAGTTTTTTGCTTGGAATTGCAAAATGAATCATAAACATCTCCCTCGTTGCAAAGATCGAAAGTTCGGGCGGAGACAGTGCCTTCTTCACAACATTCAGTGATTGCGTGAAACCATTACCTCTACCGAGTTTAGTTCATTTTATGATGCGGACGTATCGAAGTATTGTGACCAGTTAACTAGCTACTTAAACTTCTGTTTCGACACCTGTTGTCCAATTGGAACAACGTTTATCCGTGCCGATAGATTCTCGTTTCAAACCATTGTGTAGGTATGAATAAAAGGCTTCTAAGTACAGACGTTACACCAGTAATGTCTCTATCGATTGATATATAAATCGAATCGCATCCCCCTCAACCATACCTACACTCAAACAACAGCTGGAAACAATAACTATAGTGAAATATGGAAAACGCTGAAGCAGTAAAGCGAAGCCATGCATACAACTCCGGATGTGGAAAAAATTAAAGCTCATCCTCTGATAGATCCTCTGCTGAGTTACCGCTAGCCTCACATAAGTCTCCTTCTGCGAACAGCGTAGAAGTACAAAGGGAATTAATCGGATTGCAAATGAACAAAGCACCTGATCCGGATAGGTTATCTCCTGTGTTTCTCAAGGAGTGTGAAGATTATCTGACACAGCCTCTCGCCGACGGTGCTACAAGCAGCACCAGATAGCTGACAGTTGGCGAAGCGCAAGCATTATCCGGGAAAATGCAAATACATAAAGGAAAATCCATTAGTTTAGCGGTTAATCGATTAGCTTCGATCGTACATTGATTTCGAAGATTCCGGGACCTTCCATTCCTTCACGTGATCGTCAGCATACGGAGTTTTGGCTGGGAGGTTGTTAATTTTACCAATTGACCTACGTTTTCTAGAATCCCAACGTCATTGAGCCCCTATATACTTGGCGTAGGTGTGGCGTAGATTGTACAGCGTTTTGGCGGCGTTTTTGGTAACACGTTTTCTGTGGTCAAGGTCGTTGGACTTTTGATTTTTCCCCGGCTCAGCTAGAATTTTTGAGGAGAAATTTTTGGGTGTTTAATTCGGAATAGCGTGAAAAAGTGAAGATCTAACAATGGCGACGGAGAAGCACGAAAATGTTAAACTTTTCCGCCGAACATTTTCAAAATCTGCTTCTTCAGCAACAATCCCAGATGGAAGCACAAATGAAACTGATTGAAAGTTTAACGCAGTGATTGAACGTACAGTCAAACGGAGCAGCTACACGGGACACGCAGGCTGTTTCATTTGATCATCTTACGAATTCAATCACTGAATTTCATTATGGTGCTCATTCCGAATGCAATTTCGAGGCGTGATTCAAACGCTGGGAGGATATGTTCCAAACGGATTTCAGCCGTCAAGATGCTTCATGGAAAGTGCGCCTTTTGCTCCGCAAGCTCGGTAATAATGAACATTCAAGTTTCCTTGACCACATCCTGCGCAGAGTCAAAGGACAGCACTTTCAACCAAGCAGTGGCAACACTCAGAGAAATTTTGGGTGAGTCAGTCTTTGTTCAGCATTTGTTACCAATGTCTAAAAATTGTTAAGCGTGATACAGACGATTATGGGGCACTAGCAGACATGGTTAACCGTGAATGTGAACGTTTTAAGTTACGCTGTTTGACGGTTGACCAGTTTAAACGTCTCATATTTGTCAGTGCTTTAGTCTCCACGCGACGCGGAAATCCGCACTCGGCTCCTTGCTAAATTGAATCAAGATCCAGGTTTGACATTGAAGTCTCTTGCAAGCGAATGCAAACGGTTGATTACTTTGAAACACGATACCACTATGAATAAGCAGTCGCCCCATCATTGCCGATACTGTTCATGCTGTGCAAAAAGCAGGAAAGGCTGGTTCGAACAAGCCGTTCAACAGAGCGCCGAACAAGCCGCCTACACCTTGTTGGTCATGTGGTGAATGGCATTTCGCACGATACTGTCCATTCAAGCGTCACAGTTGTGATAAGTACCATAAACATGGCCACAAGGAATAATTTTGTCATCAGTCCCGGCCAAGAAACGTGAAGCAGTCTTATCGAAGGAAGAACTTCAGGATGCCAGACGCAGAATCACTATCGGTGATTGCCACTTTTCGAAGCGATTCTAGAACACGCCGCCGATTTATCACTGTGCTCAACAACGGAATCCGAACCAGGCTGCAGTTCGATACGGTATCAGATATAAAGATCATTTCCAAGAACACTTGGAAGCACATAAAGAGGCCGAAGATGGTTGATTCCAACAAAGTCGCCCACAACACATCCGGTGGAGTGCTGAAGCTGGTCGGAAAAATAACTTGCAAAATTGCATTCAGGGGAGTGGAACAGGCCGGAACCTGCTACTTGGGCTTGACTGGACAGAAAAGCTACAACTGTTTGATGTTCCAATGAGTCAGATTTGCAATAGAGTCCAAACCGATCCAGTCCGTGCATTATTGCCGATAAAAGACATGAGGAGAAAGCTAAAGCAGAAGTTTACCGCCTTGTTTGAAGATGGTCTCGGTCACTGCACTAAGTTCAAAGCAAAGTTGTGCCTTCGCGAAGGAACCAATCTAGCCTTCAGACCAAAAAGACCGGTACCGTAGGCAGCCATGGCAAAAGTCGATCAGGAGCTCGACTGACTGGAGCGAGCCGGTGTCATCACAGCAGTGAATTACTCTTCATGCGCTGCGCCGATCGTTGCTGTGAGAAAGCCGAACGGTAAAGTGCGTGTCTGCGCCGATTTTTCGACTGGCCTGAATGCCGCATTGTATGACCATCAATACACCCCCACCCCGATACCAAAGGATATCTTTGCCAAGCTGAATGGTGGGAAGTGTTTCGCCAAGCTCGACTTGTCTAATGCTTAGCTACAGGTTGAGGTTGACGAAGGCTCGAGAGAATTGCTGACCATCAACACTCATCGTGGCTTGTACCAGTACAACCGCCTCCCTTTTGGAGTGAAAACAGCACCAGCCATCTTCCAGCAGCTGATGGACACTATGCTCGCGGGAGTTCCTGGAGCCGCGGCGCACCTGGGTGATATCATTTCAATGGGTCGGACGACAGAACTATTTGAGCGGCTCGCTGAAGTGCTTGAACGCATCCAGTCATATGGTTTCCGTATCCGTGAAGACAAGTGTGCATATTTTACGCCAACCATCAAGTTCCTCGGCTTCATTTTCAAAAATGATGGTCGTCACCCTGATCCAGAAAATATCCGAGCTATTCAAAAAATGTCCCCACCTGAGGATTTGAAAGCGCTGCGTACATTCTGTGACATAATCAGTCATTACCGCGCTTTTCTGCCCAAATTGCATCGCCTGCGTGCCCCGTTGAACAAGTTGCTGAGCAAGGGCCAAACCTGGAATTGGACGTCAGAATGCCAGACTGCGTTCGAGCGTGTCAAGTCATTGCTGGCTTCAGACCTACTCCTGACTCACTTTGAACCGTCCCGAGAAATTGTCCTCGCCACAGACGCGTCGAGTCTAGGGATCGGTGCTGTAGTTTCTCATACGTTCCCAAATGGATCTCAGGAGGCGATGGCACATGCCGCCAGGACGCTAACGAAAGCCGAAAGAAACCACAGTCAGATCGAGAAGGAGGCATTGGCCATAGTGTTTGCTGTGAAGAAATTTCACAAGATGCTGTATGGTCGCCGCTTCAAACTCTTGACGGATCACAAGGCGCTGTTGGCCATTTTTGGCTCGAAGAAGGGAATTCCTGCCTATACAGCCAATCGACTCCAACCACGGGCACTCAGCTTGCTGGGCTATGATTTGGAACTCCGTTATCAGTCAACGTTTTCGATGGGCCAGGCAGATGCGTTGTCACGCCTCATTGATTCCCAGCAGCAAGAACACGAGGACACCATCATTGCCTCAGTTGAGATCGACCCTGATGTCAAATTCCTGGTGAGCGAGGCACTACATGGTCTGCCAGTTACGGCCGAAGCTGTGCGGGCCGAAACGCGTCGAGAGTCAATCCTGAAGAAGGTTACACACTTCCACAGAACCAGCTGGGCACGTTTGTGTTCATCTGCCGAACGCAGCAATTCTATCAGCGAAGACATTCGCTCTCCATCGTGAATGATTGCGTCATGCTCTCAGAGAGAGTAGTCATCTCGCAGGCGTTGCAAGAAAGAGTGCTGCGGCAGTTCCATGCAGGACATTCAGAGCTCAACCGAATGAAAGCGCTTGCTCAAAGTTGTGTATTGGCCGTTTATGGACAGACAGCCGGAGCAGCTAGCTAGAAGATGTAGCAACTGCGCTATAGCTTCAAGTGCACCGCCGAAGACTGAACTCCACTCGTGGTCTAAACCAACTAAACCTTGGAGCCGTGTTCATGTCGACTTTGCTGGTCCGACCAATGGCCAGAACTTTCTCATAGTGGTCGACGCTTACAGCAAGTGCCATCAGACGAATGATACCAGACCGTAGAGTACGGAACTTGAATCCAGAACACTACAGCCAAGACGAAGGACTGATAGGCGTAGAACCCCTTCCAGGAGGCTTCAGGTCCATCCCAGGCCAGTACCATACACTGCGACAGCCGTTTCAGGAGACGTATCCGGAAAAAGGTAAATCCATAAAGGAAAATCCATTAGTTTAGCGATTAATCGATTAGCTTCGATCGTACATTGATTTCGAAGATTCCGGGACATTCCACTCCTTTACGTGATCGCCAGCATACGGAGTTTTGGCAGGGAGGCTGCTAATTTTACCAATTGACCTTCGTTTTCTAAAACCCCAAGGTCATTGAGCCCCTATATACGAGAGTCATTCAATAACTGAGGTGAATTTTTCGGTATTTTGACTTCTAATACAGATAGAAGCTCCAGGATTGAACAGCGGTCAGTTATCAAGTTTTCGGTTGCTCAAGAGTGCAAACCAGTTGAAATTTATAGGAGAATGTCAACTGTGTATGGTGCCACATGTTTCAGCTGAAAATTGTCTACAAGTGGGCAAAATTGTTTAAATAAGGACGGAGCAGTGTTGAGGATGAAGACAGGCCTGGGAGGTCTACAGTAGTATGGTCTCCTGAGATGATCGAATCAGTCAATGACCTCATTCAGTCGGACAGAAGGATGACAGTGGATGGCATTGCAAGGACTTTGAGCTTATCTGTTGGGGCGGCACACAAAATTGTCCATGTCATCAACTGTCACTCTTCTGTCCGACTGAATGAGGTCATTGACTGATTCGATCACCTCAGGAGACCTAACTACTGTAGACCTCCCAGGCCTGTCTTCATCCTCAACACTGCTCCGTCCTTCTTTAAACAATTTTGTCCACTTGTAGAGATTTTTTCGGCTGAAACATGTGGCACCATACACAGTTGACATTCTCCTATGAATTTCAACTGGTTTGCACTCTTCAGCAACCGAAAACTTGATAACTGACCACTGTTCAATCCTGGAGCATGCTTCTTGGTCGGCCATCTTTTTTAATCGCTAAAACTCTCAAAGCATTATTTCAATCTGCAAAAGAAATTACATCCATGTGAAAAAGAAAACAAAATAAACAAAAAGTAAGATTCTATCTGTATTAGAAGTCCTTATACCGAAAAATTCACCTTAGCTATTGAGTGACCCTCGTACTTGGCGTAGGTGTGGCGTAGTTTGTACGGCGTTTTGGCGGCATTTTAGCTACGTTTGGCGGCGTTTTTGTTAACACGTTTTACGTGGTCAAGGTTGTTGGACTTCTGATTTTTCCCCGGCTGGGCTAGGATTTTTGAGGAGAAAATTTTGGGTGTTTAGTTCGGAATAGCGTGAAAACGTGAAGATCGAACAAGCATCATGCCAGTGCCAAAGAAAGAAGTCAGCAAATATCGGCCGATATTTTCCATGCGTTACTATCACGATGGTGCATAATGACACCTGAGTGCTTGTTACTTCAAGTCGACAAATTGAAGTGAAATGTACACAGCAATTCTCAAGTACATCGCATGACTGACTATAAGGTGGAAGTCACATAATATGCCGCAGAGCGCAACACCTATATAGTGCGGTGCGAATCTCCTGAGGATGATGGTAATTTGAAGTGGGTGTGTGTGGGTGGCTTAATCAACGATCAGCTCTCTCCGACATACTGCAAGCAATCTAAGGCACGAAGAACCGATCAAAAAGGGTGATGGATAATGTTGCTGCTAGCTCTAACGCACTATACTGGTAGATGAGATAACGACTATCGGAAACAGTGGTTGAAGGAAACGTGACGCGAACTAAGGAGGCGAGATGTCCTAGATGTAGTGAAAAATTCAGGTAAAGGAAGAAGGAGACAGAGGAAAGAGGCTAAAGCCTGAGATCTAATGACTATGGCATCCATGAAACACTACATGGGGATCGGCGGAAAACATGTTCCCGCAGTGCACATATCATTGTTATGATGAACTGCAAGAATTGAAGAATGCAAGAAAACTATCAGAGAGATGACATTTGATATGAAAGGTGTAGTAAGTAGACACAGTGATGTCACAACTGATGATACCTAACCTGACCATCTTTCGTGAGATCAGCAAGCGAACGCATATCCGCATCCACTGCACGTCTTTGGCGAGCGGAGGGTCCCCCAGTAACAGGGACACCAACGGAAATCAAGCCCGCTGAAATTGGCTGTGTGTAAAATGCTGGAGGAGTGGCACCACGCCCTGCTGGAATAGTGGACATGGGGCGGGATGTGCCTGAACCGGATGCAACAGCACCGATTGAAGCGCTGTTCGAAGAGCTCGATTCGGATGCATATACACGATCCGCGGACTGCATTATACGAGACGCCATTTTGGAAAAGTTAGAAATCTAAAGGCAATGGAAGTAAAAGAATAAGAGGGTGATTAGTATCAAAAACTAATTCTATTAGAGAGATGAACAGCAAAACTGTACACAACACAGCCCATGTAAACAGAGTAGGGGAATAAATGTGCAAGTAGGCTCCCATTCGGTGAGCTCGAAGAAGAAGCGTATCAATGTGAACGAAATGCAGCATGTCTGTTCAAGCGTGCTTAATGAAAATCGAGAAAAAATGGGAGTTATTTATGAACGAGCTGAGAAACCGGAGTGGATTTGAGTACACGGATCATAAATGCAGCTGGCTTAGTGTAATCAAACGACAGAGAACGACTTCCAGCTGCGCCTGAGCATTCCAGTTAACAAGCCCTAGCAAATCGGAAACGTATACGTTTGACGGGTAGGCAAAATGATCGTGGATAAATGAAGAACTGGAGGTAGGAATAAAAAAAGGCTGCATAGAGACGAATAGGTGCACATCGGCAACTTGGGAATGTGTTTCGCATGCACGAACACCGGTATCAGCATCGTGCCCTCCATGAGTGTGCTGAAGCCGGCTATTAGCACAAACAAGTAGAGTAACAAGTGATTTGGGTTCAAAAAAGAAGACGTTAATCGCAAAGATAGTGGTGGTCGGGTGCGCTCAGAGCTGGAGACACAAGGATCACGAATTCGAATGACTGGAAACGCTTTTGGACATGATAAGAGCACGCACTCAATGGCGGATATGCTGTAAAACACTACTGGTTGCAGTTTTAAAACCTTTTCAGATACTTCATCACGGTCCACTCTCAGAAAGCAGGCTTTGGCAAGTCTGGAAAAGCACCAGACAGAGCTGTTTCGACCTTCTGGGTCTCGTCAGTCGTGCGCCTTCCATCGGGTCTCTTCCGCGTTCCGAGCCCATGACTTTCGGATGCCAGCAGCTAGTGCAACTTTGTCATGCGTGACAGCAGCGGACCTGTATGAATGAGAGTTGACTTTTTTTCTTTCGCCGTAATGTTATTATGTACATGGTATGATATTTTGTCAACCGTACTATATACATACTGAAACCAGCTTTACTGCCCACCCGGTTTATAGCCCACCTCGCTTTATTGGCCAGAATTTTAAAATACAAATTCTTTTCTCATAAATGGGCCAAATTTTCACCGTCTAATGGCCCATTACTGGGGTTGTCCCGCCGTTTAATTGCCCAGCTGCGTAGGCCGTGCTCTTGTCGCTCCGTCAATTTTATGTCCTCTCTTTAACTCTTTTATTAAGATTGCCCCAGTTAGCCAGTCCGATGCAGTCAAGAACAACAAAGGTGTCGGCGGCGTTATTGACAGATCAGAAAAGGTAATCTATGTCATTCAATACACGAGCAAGCTAAATGTACAGCCGGCTGTGGGCGAACCCTCGTCCCTATTCAAAACTCGAGAAATGAGTAAAGTCGGGTAAACTTTCCGCTCCACATTTATCACTATTCTATTGGTTACACATAAGTATGCCAAAAAACAGAAAGGATTTGTCCTTGACAGAAAAGTTGGATATTTTGGACAAATGAAAACATATCCACCAGGAACCTCGCAGGTCAAGATATTGCGTCACTTACACATTTCTCGTAGTACCCTAGACAGGTTGATGGCCAATGAGAAAGAACTCCGGCAGAATTTGTCGCATGGCATTGCAAGCTTTCAGAAAAGTAAGCGATGTGGAAAGGATGAAGAAGAAACTGGAGTGAAAGACTGGATGATCTCGGTTCATGAGCACAACCAATCAATCACAGGTACGCTTCTGGAGAAAATGGCAGAGGAATTTGGGAAATGACATGGAAAAACTTGTACTGCCATAGAAGGACGGTTGCGAAGGCGGAAGAATAGAACATAAATTGCGTATAAACGTGCACATGGGGAAAAGAGTTCCGCGGACAGAGCAGTCTGTGAAAATTGGCGAAAAGATCGACTGCCTGAACTTTTAAATGCTTTTTTGATGACAACGTATACTATGCAGACGAAACAGTTTTTCTACCGAGCAACTCAAAAATGCTCATTGTGTTCTGCTGCCGACAAGCCCAGCAGATCGAAAAAGCCATAGATAGGATCTCTTTCCTGTGCTGCGCGAAAGCGTCTGGCATGGACAAAAGAAATATAGTATTGATTTAAAAAATAAAAAACCACGATGTTTTAATGGCGTGGAGGTACTTATACTTCCTGTAACTTCAGAGCTAACAAAAATGCGTGGATGTCGTAAGAACTTTCACCGAGTGGGTCCTCGATTGGGACAAGGAGCTAGGCCAATGATGCCGAAAAGTTATGTTGCTCTTGGATAATTGCACAGCACATCCAGAGGTATAAGGACTGAAAGACATTCAAATGGAATTTTTGCAGGCAAACAAGGTCAGCGTTCTTCAATCCATGGACACACGTGTGAGTAGGAATCTGAGAACCCGTTACAGAAAGGACATTACAGACCGATTTCCTTATCACATCGAGAACAACGTGCTATCAAGCTCATCATCGGCGGTGGATGTCAACGCCTAGATTTCGGTGCGCAATGCAATTACGTTCCTATCAAAAAGGTGGACAGGTTACCGGTGCAACAATAAACGCGTGCTTTCGGCATGCTGGCTTCAGTCGAATATGATGCACTACCTGATGATGTCGTCATCGCTGAAAACGTGATCAGCGCTTGCACAATCCCAGTCATGAATGAAGTAGAGTTCGTCAACGATGTGGAATGTACCTCAGATCTGACAACTGTTGACGATGAAATCATCAATAAAAGTTTAGAGAACGAACTAGAACAGAAAGAAGGCAGCGACTCAGAGAATGATGTGCCGGATGCCTGCGTAAGTAACAGCAATCAGCGCGAGTCGCATTCAAGAGAAAATAACTGTGTGAATGATATGTGTAGCTACGGACTTTCGCATGGGCGAGGCAACAATTTCTTGTCCCAATTGGACTTTATGGGAGCGAAAGTGACTGGGGTATCTGCACGAAATAACGTACAACTGACAATGGATGGTTCTGTCAGCAAAAATATACAGTAACACCAGTTTCTGTAGCTATCCAGGTAAAATGCTTTATGTCATAACTTTTAAATTATAGGCCATGCTCTTCTAAATAAGCGTCTTTTGTAAGCATCGGTTAAAAGTACGTATTCTAACTTGCTCCGCATGTCAAAATACAATAATGCAACGGTTGTTTCTCTTTTGGGAAAAATGGTAATGTCGGATAATTGCCCACTTTTGAGATATCCCGATGCTGGGCAATAAAGCGGGCTAGAAGATATATATATATATATATATATATATATATATATATATATATATATATATATATATATACAGTCGATTCCGGTTAATCGGATCACATCGGGACCAGACCATTTTGGTCCTATTAAGCGGCTGGTCCGATTAACCGAAGTTACCCGATGTAACAAGATGGGACGTGCTATACATAACATAGGAAACTACTATTATGACCTGTATTGGCGGCATATATGTATAGCAAACACACAAACAAGAACTGCTTTGATAACGAACTTTGTTCACTGAAAAAGAAATTTACAAACAAATTCTTCGTAACGACCTACAAGATATTCAGCATGCGAAGTACAGTTTTATACAAAGGGATTACCGAATTCCATTCAGCGTTTAAAGACCGTATCCAGTGTGGTTTGACGCATTCTTTTAACAGACTGCATTCGCACAAAATCACCACAAACATGTAACGCAGTAATAGGACTACCTTCGTTTCCTTCTTGCATGAAATAGCGGTGCAATGTTTCAATGCATTTCCTTGCATCCTGTTTTGTGACTGGCATCAACACGTCAGGGTTCTTTTCATCACTTCCATGGTCTTCTGTTGTTGTCGTGTGGTTCGCTGCTATTCGAGCAAAATGGCAGCATCGCATTCTTCATTTCCATCATAGAGTTGAAGTTCGTTGTCGATTGACAAAAATTCTTCGTAATTTTCAACTTGTTTCAGCTTCACATTCTCGCCGTCATTTTCATTTACAATCATCATATACATCCAACTCCGAGACAATATGCTTAAAGCCACAGTGAGAAAAACAGTTCCGAATTTTCGCACTGCTCATTTTTCGCCAACTTCCGGCCACGAATGTAACGGCTTGCAAAATGTTGACCTTTGCACTGATTTCTCCGGCCGTCGAGGATGAGGTCAGTAAGCCCTCCTCAATTGATTCAAGTATGTAATTCACCAACCTTGAACGATAAAAGGTCTTCAAATTTTTTCTGATGCCCATGTCCATTGCCTGTATCAAAGATGTGGTCTTGGGAGGCAGAAATTCCATCTGGATATTCTTCAAGAAATCCAAATTTGAATGTGCTGCACAATTGTCGAGAAGTAATAACACTTTTCTCGACTAGCGTTGTAGCTCTGTGTCCCAATCCTTCACCCATTCTTTAAAAAGTGTAGAGCTCATCCATGCATTTCTGTTCGCACGATACACAACTGGTAAACTGTCCATTCTGAGTCCCTTAAAGCAGCGAGGCTTGGCACTTTTTCCTATAACCAGCAACTTCCTCTTGTCTGTTCCGGACATGTTTGAGCAGCACAAGACAGTTACGCGATCCATTACTTTTTTGCAGCCAGAGAGAGTGACATGTTTGTAACTTGAGGAGCCGTCCGGTGTAGCCCTATAGTATAACCCGGTTTCATCAGCATTATAGATGTCATCTGCTGGAAATTTTTCAAGAAGCTCTGGTAGTTTTGTTGATTTCCATTCTTCAACTCGAGCGCTATTGGCACTTTCTTTCTCACCATGTGCTTTCTTAAATTTTACATTATGTCTAGATTTTCATCGAGACAACCAGCCGTCTGTGGCTATAAAATCTTCGTGGCCCAGCATTTTAGCGAGTTCTTCTGCTTTGTACTTTAACATTGGGCCACTTACTCGCAGGGCTCGTCTAGTAACTAAGGCAAACCAATCATTAAGGGCCTCATCGACGTCTGGATCCTTGCCTTCACGCTTCCGTTTTTGTGAAGTACCTCGTCGTCCTTCACATT